CAGTTCCAATAGCTCATTTAGCAATAACTGCTAACTGCTGACTCACCCACAGCTGCACACATTAAACTCCAACAATAGAATCTACCAACTGATTTTCCTCTCCTTACCACCAACTTAAACTTTAATTGTGCCATTCATGCTCACTTCTCACCAAATCCTCCCCCCCCTCCCGTTCTCTCCCCATAACTCTGCAAACTTGTCCTCCCCAATCTGTGACACTACCCTGCATGGAGGGCGTTATATAAGTGCAAGTTATGGTTGTTGAAATGCTGCTAATCCTCAGCTGTCCTCTATTACTAACTAGACTGAATATTCTTCACCTGCAAGTTTATAGTCAGTGTCCATAGGGTGTTTCAACCTTGGAATGCCATAGTCAAGGCTATTCCCATCATCACACAAAATCACAAGAGCGGTTCAGATGAAGAAGGCCTTTCGACCCATTTATAATAATGCCTACATTTGATATAATGCCTTTCACATCACGAAGATGTCTCAAAGCACATCACAGATTTTACTTTAAAATGTAATGAATGTATATTTTATAGGCAAAATGTAATATACAAATTACAATAGAAATTTACATTAAAGAAGCATCTTTCACATCAGGAGGATGCCACGAGGTGCTGATTTGAAATTTAATCTCATCCCTCTGGCCTCTACCACCTTTCCTGGTAACTTGTTGCAGTTATTAATTACCCTCTGAGTAAAGATATACTTCCTGGTGTCTATTCTGGAATTGCCCTTAAGAACTGTGGACTCTGTCGTCAACAACAACATCTTACTGTCTTAGTCCATCTGAAAGTATCCCTGCAACACTTTGCACCCAAGAATCCGCTCTCAGGAATGGGAGTTTTGGGAGCTTTTCCCTCTGTCTGCTCGAAGGTGCTCTTCTACTGGTGCCCAGGCTGAAGACAACATTTTTCAAATAAGAATATAATACAATTGACATTCATATAGCACCTTTCACATCAAGAGGACATCTCAAAGCACCTGACAAAGCTGGATGAGCACCCGAGCTGGGTATGGGAACGGAGTAGTGTGTGGAGGGAAATAATGACCAAAAGCACAGTCAAAGAGATAGATTTTGAGATGTGCTTTGAAGGAGGGGAGGGAGGGAGCTGGATGGAAGGACCTCTGCTTCTGGAGTTCCAGAAAGCAGGGGCACAATGGCTGAGAGCCCACCAATTGATGGTGCGGCGGATAGGACAGGAGACATGAAGCAGGCTGGAGCCCATGGAGTAAAGGGAGAGGCCAGGTGAGTGTGGATGAAGGAGGTCGCAGAGTGGGGAGGAATCTGAAAGTGAGAACAATCCCTGAGGGGATGTGGAGCCAATGGAGCTGAGCAAGGATTGGGTGATAAGCCTGCGGAGTCTGGTGCAGGAGAGGACATGGGCTGCATAGTTCTGGACAGTCTGCATACTGTGTACAGAAGAGCTGTGGAATCTGGCAGGCAGAGCATTGATATTAACAAGCCTGGACATGATAAAAGTCATGGTTGAGAGTCTCGGTAACCCAAGAACAGAGATAGTGACGGAAGGTAGGGAGCAGTGTTATGGAGGTGAGGGAAAGCTGAGCAGATCAGAACCCGGATGAGGGGGTTTGAAAGACAGTCAGGAGCCAAACAAAACATGCATCCCTGCAGGTTGATGCAGTCAGTGCCTGAGATGAGAAAGTACTGATTTGAACCAAGCAGTAGAGCCTCTGACTTATCAACACTGAACTGAAGAAAAGTAAAGCTCATCCAGGCTCTTGGAGTTGAGGGTAGACACAGAGTAACAGATTTCATTATCTACTTGCTCCCGCTTGGCGACACCATTCCATGTCTGTGGATGATATGACAGAGTGGGAGCGTATAGATAATGAAGAAGAGAGGGACCAAAGATAAAGTCCTGAGGAAAGCCACATGAGATTGAGGGGGCAGGAGGAGAGGCTGTCTGAAGAGACTAGGTGGAGATGCTGGGGCATGTAAGAGTGAACCCAGGAAAGGACAAAACAATGAAGGTGGAGCTGAGAAGAGAGGAGGGGAAGGATAGAGTGGTCAACAATGTCGAAAGCGGCAGAGATCAAGGAGAGCAAGAAGTCAAAGAGCCCTGGTCACAGAGAGAGAATGTCATTGGTGACTCTGAGCGGTGCAGTTTCGGTACTGTGGAAACACTCACTCCAGTACCTTGGAGAGGAAAGGCAGGTTGGTGAGATGGGCTGGCAATTTGACAGATTTGGAAGGGGTGAGTGAGGTTTTATTGAGATGGGGGGTGGGGGAGAGAGGCAGCACTTTTGACGTAAGTGGGAACTGTATCAGAGGCGAGGTTTACAATGTTACAACACAAATTACACAACATACACCAAAAGAAGTAGTGCAAACTCCAAAACGTTTTCCCTACTCAAGATTTAAAAAGTAAACGTTTCCCTGCTCTGTGAACTCACTGCACTGTCAATATTCATCATCTGCGGTTGTTCTGTGCAGTATACATGTAATTTATTCAACAGATATTGAAGAAATAATGGATCAATTATTTTGACTTTTTTGAAGAGCAATTAGGTGGTTCATCTCATCCCTTTCTAAAATAAGTAAAAACATCTAGAATTGTATGATGTTCTCATATACATTGTAAAGAATTGTATATGGTACTCTTATATACAGTGTATTAAGAATTGTATGCAGTTCTCTCAAATACAATGTATACAGTACTCTCACGTACATTATAAAGAATTTATAGGGTCTCTCAGAACACATCGATGTGGAAAACTTACTTTGCTCCAACTGTGGCTCACAAGACTATTTTAAAGGCCCAAAATCATTACATCTGATGAATAATAATCAAATAATAATAATCCTTGCATTTGATATAAGGTCTTATCCACATTGAAAAGTCTCAAAGTACTTCATTGTGTACTTGAATAACATTGGGGATCAGGGAATTCAATTATCTCAATATATAAACAAATAAGATAGCAATATGACAAAGTACAAGTTATGAAGCGATTACATCTGCAATATGAAGAGAAAGCAGCATCTCTCTTGCCCATGGGTCGCACGGTTACATGGGATGTTGCTGCTGTAACCAGATGTAGCTTTTGGCAGGTGACTCTGGGGATGGGGGGGTGGGGGAGGGAAAGTGAGGGACATCTCAAAATGCCTCACAAGACTTACAGCATTTATGTAGTGCCCGTCACATGGGATAGCATCTCCGAGGGTTTAACAATGGCATAACATTTACTGGGAAGTGTAGAGAAGTGTGTTTTGTGGGCAAAAGGGACAGCCAATTTGTGCACAGCAAGCTAATAATAATAATCCTTGCATTTGATACACCGCCTTATCATGTCTTCAAGACGTCTCAAAGCACATCACAGAATATATTGTAAAGTGGAGTGACTGTATTTTGTGGGTGAATGGCGGCAGCCACTTGCAGTGGATTGAGTGACCACATTATTATTATTTAAGTTCCCACAAACAGCTAGGGGATTTTTGGCCAGGACACAGGCAGAGAGTGAGAGAAACTCCCTTCTCTTTTTTTCCCCCAAATAGTCTTCCTCTCTTCCCCCAGTCCTGCAGCAATGAGCATTTCCTAACATTAATTCGATCAGAGGGGCTGTATTTGAATAAAAGTTACTGATGCAAAAGTAGCAAATGAGGGGAAATCGCAGGAAACCAGTTAGACCACTAACCTCCCTCCTTCCCTCTCCTAAAATGCTTCAAGATGTTGACTTCAATGGACTACCCCTGGGCTCTGGAACTCCATCCCCCAGTGCCTTCGCCTTACTTCCTCCCTCCCTTTCCTCCTTCAAGGCTGGTCTCAAGACCTTTCTCTTTGCCCGAGCCTTCAGCTCCCCTCTCGACTCTCTACCCCCTCCTCGCTCCCTCCCTTCGCTCCCCTCACCCTGACCATTTCCCCCCTCCTCGCTCCCTCCCTTCCCTCCCCTCCCCCTGACCATTTCCCCCTCCTCGCTCCCTCCCTTCCCTCCCCTCCCCTGACCATTTCCCCCACTGCTCGGGTCCCGACCCAACTGTCCAGCGCCTTGGGACGTGCTCCCAACATGAAAGGCGCTCTATAAATGCCATCTTGTTGTTGTTGTTGACTGACTTAGGGCTAAAACCACCAGCTATACCCAGATAACCTTACTGATCTGATCCCCCCCAACACACACAAACACACACACACTTCTCCTCTCTTCCTCCTTCACATAAAGACAAAACCTTTGCATTAAACCCCACCAGCACAAGCTTTTAAAATAACAGCGATCTCCCGACTTACTGCACTTTTTAACTTTTTTTTGGAGGTCGAAAACATTCAGCAATTTCATCTGCTTTTTTTTTACACACACACAACCTTTTTCCCCAATTGCCCTGAGAGCTGCAATAAGGGACAATGATGAGAGAGGTTGGAGCACCGGGCAGTGCCCATGAGGACAGCGCTGAGCCACTCACTCACTCACTCACTCACTGACACACTCACTCACTGACACAGTCACTCACTGACACAGTCACTCACTCTCACACACTCACTCTCTCACTCACTCTCTCACTCACTCTCTCACTCTCACTCACTCACTCACTGACACACTCACTCACTCTCTCACTCACTCTCACACACTCACACTCACTCACTCTCTCACTCACTCTCACTCACACTCTCACTCACTCACTCACTTACATTCACACTCTCACTCACTCACTCACTCACACTCTCTCACTCACTCACTCCCTCATTCACTCACTCACTCACTCACTCACTTACATTCACTCACTCCCTCACTCCCTCCCTCCCTCACTCACTTACATTCACTCACTCACTCCCTCCCTCACTCACTCACTTACATTCACACTCACTCACTCTCACTCACTCACTCTCACTCACTCACTCACTCTCACTCACTCACTCACTCACTCACACTCACTCACTCACTCACACTCATTCACTCACTCTCCCTCCCTCCCTCCCTCCCTCCCACTAGCCGGGAGGGAGGCAAACCTCGCCAGTCGCTAACAGCGCAGCACTCACTCCAACGAGCACAGTTCGTCCTCCTCAGAATCCGCATCAGACAGCAAGTCCATGGAGGAGACGCTCATCTTCCTGCCGGTGCCTCTCACAGGGGGTCTTCAGCCAGAGAGGAGCTGCATCTGGTCAGCCAACACCACCCCACACACACACACTCTCACACACTCACAGCAATGTCCTCCCAAACACCCAGCAGCAGATACCAGAGTTGGGGAAGTTTGCTGTTGGTCCGCCCCTGTGACTGCTCAGGTCTGATGCTCAGCACTATGGGAACTGTAGTGAGCAGTGCAAGTGGTGTGAGTGCTGTGCTGTGCTGTGCTGTACTGTGCTGTACTGTGCTGTGCTGTACTGTGCTGTGCTGTGCTGTACTGTACTGTGCTGTACTGTGCTGTATTGTGCTGTGCTGTATTGTGCTGTGCTGTGCTGTGCTGTATTGTGCTGTGCTGTATTGTGCTGTGCTGTACTGTGCTGTACTGTACTGTACTGTGCTGTGCTGTACTGTACTGTACTGCACTGTACTGTACTGTGCTGTACTGTGCTGTGCTGTACTGTGCTGTGCATGCACCATAATTCTTCCATTTGGTGCAGCGCCTCTCACATCGTGGAAGCGTCTCGAAGCGCTTCACAGGATTTACTGTAATGTGTGATGGCTATAATTGTCTTACGATAATTCTTAAGCGCTGTGAAACGCCATCCGGCGTGAAGGGCGTTATATAAACGCGGGTTGTTGTTGTATTTTGCGGATGAACGCGGCAGTAAATTTGCCAAACAGCCATGAAGTGAATGAAACATGAGGGGCTCATTAGACTTGGGGTCGCTCTTCGCCTTTATTGTCATCAACAAGGTATGTGCCTGACCTGAGAGCCTTGTCTTCAGGTTAAGATTGTTTTTTCTTTGTCCATTAACTTTGAAAGCTGCTAATGTCATAGTTATGGTGTCAGTGTTTTTCTATTTCTTAATGTTGCAACTATTTATCTTATATTAGGCAGTGTAAGTGAGGCATATGGTTTCAAGGACCAATAAAATACGGTTGTGTTTTCTAAAAAGTGCATCTCGAGTCTGTTAAATTGAAGGAGGGAGGGAGAGACACAAACAGGTTATTGCAGAAGTCAGCTGTCTGGCAGTGTGAAGGAAGGACACTAACTGAAGCATCCCATTGTCACACTATAAAGCAATGGGACTACCTGACGTTGTGTTAATTCTTGTGTAGTGAACTTTCACATAGAGAGGGAACTTGAATGTCACAGAGAAGAATCTACACAGAGGCCACCTGGTACACCTTGTCCTTTACATAACGCGGGTATACATTAAAGGGTGAGAACCATTGCAAAGCCACACACTTTACGTTGGTTAAACTCTAGCCATACCCTCATACACAGCCTTAGTTCTTGACTTGAGGCTACCTGGGTGCACCTGGGTCTAGGGTCATTCTGTTTATGTAGGATTTTAGAGTGCCCAGAATTTGACAGATTCTTAATTTTTAATTTGTTTTTCTGTAAGTTTCTTTTAAGAATGACAGAAAAACAATCTTAAATTTAAGACTGAATTCACCATTTTGCTATGTTTTTAATATCAGTAATGCAAGTGCAGGAGTAGAATAAAAGGGATAGAATAGTGTGGGTGTGTTGGGAGCAGCATTCAATTTCTGGCATCATTATTAACCATAGAAAAATTTGGAGAAAAGAAGCAGGTCATTCAGTCCATTGTGTCTGTGCTGGCTCTTTGAAAGCGCGATATATTCCATCCCATTTACCTGCTTTTTCTCTATATCCCTACAACTTGTATATATATATATATAAAACTTTGCTTTTGCAACCTTCTACAGTAGTTGTTACATTTGCTATAGCACCTTATCGTATGGTCAAGACATCTAAGAGCACTTGATAGGATTTTCACTGTGAAGTGTGGTAATTGTGTAACTGTGTATCTGTAGGCAAATGTGGCAGCCAATCTGTGCACAGCAAAGTCCCACATACAGTCATGAAGTAAATGGACAATTTTTTATTTGGGGGAATGTTGGCCAGGAGACCAGGGGAAACTTCCTTTTCGACTCGTGTGAAGGGATCTTTATTGTCCACCTGAACAGGCAGACAGGATCCCGGTATAATGACTCATCTGAAGTACAGGATCTTCAACAATGCAGCGACAACTTGTATTTATATGGCACCTTTCAAGCAGGGCAGAGTCTCAGAGCGTTTAATAGTGGCAGAGCTTGACACCGAGATGGGGAGAGAGGGGTGGTGATCGTAGGCATAGTCTCGCAGTACTGTATTGAACTGTCAGCCTTGACTGAGTTCAAAGTCCCGATGTGGGGTTCAAACCCACAGCCTCTGACAATCAGATTTCAGAAGCCCCAAAGTTCTCGTAGTCTTAATGCTTTAAGACCAATTTAAATTTAATTTTAAGATCATACAGAATTTGGGAAACTGTGTAAATTCAGTCTTAATTTGGAAGACAATTTTCTGTAATTCCAAATTAATAATAATAATTATCCTAAATTCTGCATAACCTAGCTTATAATAATGGTCTTACGGCTAAGACCATGAGAAATTTCAGACCACAGATTTTTAAAATCTATTTCAATGAAAATTCCACCCACTTTACATAAATATTTTGTAAAGTGTAAATGGGAGAAAGTTATACAGCAGTTTATAGTTAAATATAACATAAAGTTAAGATTCTTGATCTCACTGTCTCCTGGCAGGAATGTGTTCAGAGAACCGTTTGATCAGGATGTCAAATCAAGTGTGGTTCAGGTTGCATCAACAACAATTTTGCATTTATATGGCACCCTTCATGAAGGGTAGCGCCCCAGGGCACTTGTCAGTGGGAGAGCACGACTCTGAGCCAGTGGGAGATGACCGTAAACATGGTCGAAGAGGAAGGTCTTCAGGCATAACCTGAAGATGGGGAAGGAGGGGGCAAGAAGAGGGATAGAGGAAGAGTGTTCCAGAGTCTCTGACCGTAGTGTCTGAAAGTGCGGCCGCCAACGGTGGAACAGAGGGCACGAGCGACAAGCAGGAGGCTGGAACCAATCGAGTGGAAGTAGTGGGTTGGGGAGTAAGCAAGTCAGAGCGGTAGGGAGGTACCAGGGGATGAAGGGATTTGATGATGAGCATGAGGATCTTGAAATCAATCTGTTCAGTGATATGGAGCCGGTGGAGCCTGGCTAGAACTGGTGTGATTCATTGAGAACGAGCGCAAGACGTCTCAACGATGTGGAGCTCCCAAACTCCTCCCTCCATAGGCTGCAAATCATTCAGAACTCTGCAGCCTGTGTCCTCTCCCACACCAGGCTCCATGACCTTATTAGCCTCATCCTTGCCCGACTCTAGTGGCTTCCCATCACACAGGATACAGTTCAACCATCCTGGTTCTCACTTTCAAAGCTCTCCATGGTCTTGCTCCCCACTACCTCTGCGACCTCCTAACTCCCTACCAACCTGCCCGCTTCCTTCACTTAGCAGGCTCCGGGCTGCTTCACATCCCTCGCCTCGCCCGCCCCATCATTGGCAGGTGGGTCTTCAGTCACTCTGCTCCCACCCTATGGAACTCCATCCCACAGTCCCTCCGCCTCACCCCCTCCCTTGCCTCCTTCAAGACCCATCTCAAGACTCTCCTGTTCGACTGTCATCCTCCTTACCCCACTGCCCTCCAACCCACATTGTTGAGATGTCTCAAAGCGCTTCACAGAGTAGATTATAAAATGATTATGATGTAGATTATTGACTGCACTTTTTTGTGGGCAAATCCAGCATCTAATTTGCACACAGCAACAACAATGTCACACAAACAGCCATGAAGTGAGGAATCAGTTGAGAAACGGTGGTTAATTGATGATAATAATAATAATCTTTACTTTTGATATATATGACCTTTCACTTCAAGAGCACTTCACAGGATGTATTTTGAAGTGGAGTGTCTGTTTTGTGGGCAAACATGTGATATTGCAGATCTCTTTAAGATCAGAAGAGATGATGAGCATGGCACTTCTCAAAAAGAGAAGGGAGTTTCTCCCAGTGTCCTGGCCAACAATCCCCCAGATAAAACTGGTCATTCATTTCATGGCTATTTGTAGGACATTGCTGTGTGCACATTGACTGTCACGTACACCTCCAACATACAGACACTGCACTTTACAGTAAAATTTGTCAAGTGCTTTAATATGCAACATCAATGTAACAAGATGTGTAAAATGCAGGGATTATTATTATTATTCACCCTACTGTCTTCCCATTACAACATCATTTGGACCAAGGTGCTCCTGCTTGGCTCCCGTCAGCACCTCCATACCTCGGGGGCTCAGAGCAACTCCCTCCATTGATGCACTTGACATCTCACGAAACCAATACAGAACCTTGGAGTCCTGTTCAACCCTCAACTGTCCTTCATACCCCACATCAGTGCCATGACCCGCTCCGCCTTTCCCACCTCAGCAACACTGCCCGGCTCCGCCACTATCTCACACCGCAGGCCGCCGAGACCCTCATACATACATTCATAACATCCAGGCTCAACTATGCAAACTCCCTGCTTGTTGGCCTCTCCAACTCCTCCCTCCATAGGCTGCAGATCATTCAGAACTCTGCAGCCTGTGTCCTCTCTCGCACCAGGCTCTATGACCTTATCAGCCCCATCCTCACCTGACTCCACTGGCTTCCTATCACACAGGATACAGTTCAACATTTTGGTTCTCACTTTCAAAGCCTCCATGGTTTTGCTCCCCACTACCTATGCGACCTCCTAGCTTCCTGCCAACCTGCCCGCTCCCTCCGCTTAGCGGGCTCCGGGCTGCTTCACATCCCCCGCCTCGCCTGCCCCACCATTAGTGGGCAGGCCTTCAGTCACTCTGCTCCCACCCTATGGAACTCCATCCCGCAATCCCTCCACCTTGCCCCCTCCCTTGCCTTCTTCCCGACCCACCTCAAGACCCTTCTCTTCGACCATCACCCTCCTTCCCCCACTGCCCTCCAACCCCTAATCCCGCCCTCCAACCCCTGATCCCAACCTCCATCTTGGGTCCGAAACACTGATTGTCCAGCGCCTTGGGACATCCTTCCAATGTGAAAGGCGCTATATAAATGCAATTTTTTTTGTTGTTTCGTAGAAGAGTCCAGTTCTTCTTAGCAATTCTGTAATTCTTTTCACTGGTTCCTAATTACCTAATCAAATGCTATAGGGAAAAACTGGGCAAACTACAGAGTTCTGTAACCATGAAAAGAGACATCAAAGA